AAAGACATCAGCAATCCTACCATCATGTAAAACAATCACAGGCTTCGTTTTACACTCACTTGGCAGGACGGTAGTACCTCCTGGGTGGTTGCTGTCTACCAACCTACTACCTACATATATATATATATATATATATATATATATATTATATATATATATATATATATATATTATATATATATATATATATTATATATATAAGGAATGTATGAAAGTATAGTAGTACCAACACTCTTATATGAGTGTGAAGCTTTGGTTGTAAATGTTGCAGCGAGGAGGAGGTTGGAGGCAGTGGAGATGTCCTGTCTAAGGGCAATGTGTGGTGTAAATATTATGCAGAAAATTGGGAGTATGGAAATTAGGAGAAGGTGTGGAGTTAATAAAAGTATTATTCAGAGGGCTGAAGAGGGTTTGTTGAGGTGGTTTGGTCATTTAGAGAAAATGGATCAAAGTAGAAGGACATGGAGAGTGTATAAATCTGTAGGGAAAGGAAGACGGGGTAGGGGTCGTCCTCGAAAAGGTTGGAGGGAGAGGGTAAAGGAGGTTTTGTGGGCGAGAGGCTTGGACTTCCAGCAAGCTTGCGTGAGCGTGTTAAATAGGAGTGAAAGGAGACGAATGGTATTTGGGACCTTATGAGCTGTTGGAGTGTGAGCAGGGTAATATTTAGTGAAGGGGTTCAAGGAAACCGGTTATTTTTCTATAGCCGGACTGGAGTCCTGGATATGGGAAGTACAATGCCTGCACTTTAATGCAGGGGTTTGGGATATTGGCAGTTTGGAGGATATGTTGTGTATGTATATACGTATATGCTTCTAAATTGTTGTGTTCTGAGCTCTTCTGCAAAAACAGTGATTATTTGTGAGTGAGGTGAAAGTGTTGAATGATGATGAAAGTATTTTCTTTTAGGGGATTTTCTTTCTTTTTTGGGTCACTCTGCCTCGGTGGGAGACGGCCGACTTGTTAATATATATATATATTACATATATATATATATATTATATATTATATATATATATATATATATATATATATATATATATATATATATATATATTTACATACGGGTTTATTACTTCAAAATTAATAATAAAGACATTTTATCCTCCCTTTCATTTTGTTTCTTAATAAAAATTTAGTTTTGCTACAGGTTAATGCCAGAGAGTGTTCGATGGTTAGTCGCTCAGGGTCGTAATGATGAGGCCAAGAAAATTATAGAGAGAGTTGCTATAGTCAATAATGTTGATGTACCAAGACATCTGCTGGACGTTCATAATGTGGAGGTAACTTGCCCTTCAATTATTTTTTTTCTTTTCTCTGAAAATTAGGAAAGAGTTTTAGGTAAATTCGCACTGAAATTTACAGGAAATGCTAAAACAAATAACCTGCATTTATGAGACTGACTATGGCCTAAGTCGGACTGAAAATATCATTAATTTCAGTTTATTAAGTGCGGGTTATTTGTATGTTCCTGTCAGGATATTGCGATTTTAGATTCACTATGTATATTGTTTATTTACACTGATTATGAATCACCTCTTGAGGTAGAGAATCAATTTAAATTAATTACTCATTTGTTATTGTAACTAACAGCTTCGTCCTGTTGACGGAACTCTGTCAGTAACTAGCAGTAACATTGAACATGTGAATGAAACTAGACAAGAAGCAAAGATCAAGAAGACTGTTCTTGACCTCTTGAGAACTCCTGTTATGAGGAAAAGATCATTCACCTTGTTTTTCTGTTGGTAAGTATAAGTTTTTGATGAAACCAATTGTTCTCTAATATATTTGATCAGTTTATGGTTCCTAGTAAATATTCACATCTGCCTTTCATGTATATCTTGTAAAAAAAAAATAATTGTTATTTTGATGAGTAAATATTCATTGCTGATGTGGTGATTATTTGAAAAACTTAAAAAAATATAACAAAAATCCTAAAATATGGGATCAAGTCAATCACATTATAAAAGGCTATTACAATACCGCAACATTTAAAAAGTAATTTCATATATCCAAATATGGAATGTTGTTTTTTACATGCAAAGTTCTGTACATAATTTTTTATTTGTTACTGTAACAAAAAGTTTAAGATAAGATAAGATTTCGTTCGGATTTTTAACCCCGGGGGGTTAGCCACCCAGGATAACCCAAGAAAGTCAGTGCGTCATCGAGGACTGTCTAACTTATTTCCATTGGGGTCCTTAATCTTGTCCCCCAGGATGCGACCCACACCAGTCGACTAACACCCAGGTACCTATTTGCTGCTAGGTGAACAGGACAACAGGTGTAAGGAAACGTGTCGAAATGTTTCCACCCGCCGGGAATCGAACCCGGGCCCTGCGTGTGTGAAGCGGGAGCTTTAGCCACCAGGCCACCGGGCCTTATTTACACTACACTTTCCACTCTGAGTTTCTTATATTTTCAACAAGGTGGTCGTAACCCACCATTGCAGAATGACCTCCCAAAATAGAGAA